TGACTCCTTGATCAAACAGAGATCGGAAACCTCCTAATAGTCGAGGTAAGACGAGTCTGTGAACAGATGTAAATCCAGACGAAGTGGAGTAAGCGGCATCCCTGCCATGGTCTCTGTCTAACCTCACCCATGAGAAGCTCACATCCCCATAGAGGTAAAACATTTCAAGCTGTAAGAAATGTGAGGTGAAGGACATGTGAACTGCTTGCTCCAAAGATAAAGAGGAGAAGGCTGGGACGAACACAGGTTGGAAAGAACCCCCCCCCCCCCCAAATGAATGGGTTATTGCGAGGGAGAAGAACGGACATCCCCACTGTCTTCAGAAACCCCACCTGTGCTGCTTCCTCTAGGAGCAGAAGAGTGTGGTTTTTGGGCTATGAATGGGAAGAAGCAAGCAGGAGCCAGTCATCCATAGAAAGACGTGTGCAAAGAGTGTGGGGAAATACTCCAAATTGTAGATTAGAAGGAGAAAACATTTCTAGTCTCACGAACATAGTAAATGGAACCAATGCAAAGCTCAGCCCCTATGAACAGGAAAGAAATGAACAGATCAGTCTTACATTGAATTATATATTAGTAGTAGTAATGATATGTAAAGTACAACCTATCTAAACATACCTTGTTAACAAACAACTTATAAATATCAAATGGACAAACCATCCAAAGTTATCTAGGCCACAAAGGATGCAAGAATAATGAACATGCAAACCAACTAAAATTACCTAGAAAACATATTAATAATCTATATTTAACTTACCATTCATCTAAATTAGCCTAGATGACAAAGGAAATATAATAAAGTTTGATCCTGATGAAAATTAGGATAAGGCACACAGTTAACAATGACAAGAAAAAAAATTATTCAGATAGAACAATGAATTATGTTACTAATAGTAATGATATGTAATGTACAAACTATCGAAATATATCTAGTTAAAGTATTTATGAATTACAAATGGATAAACTACTGAAACTACCTAGTCCACAAAGTATGTAATAATAATGAATGTGCAAACTGATGAAAATTACCTAAAAATTATTAATAATCAATATTTAACTTACAATTCTTTGAAATTAAACTAGATGACAAAGGACACATAATTAATTCCTACACTGATTAACATTAGGAGGGTAAAGTACATAATAAACATTGACAAAAAAAAAAAACTCACATAGAACAATAAATTAGATGTTACTATTAGTAATGATATCTAACTTACAAACAATCTAAATATACTTAGTTAAAGTAATTATCAATACCGAGCTACCAAACTCATGAAATTTGCCAAGTCTACAAAGTACATAATATTAACGAACATGTAAAATGATTAAAATTACATAACAAAAATGTAATAGTCAATATCTAACTTAAAATTCATCTAAGGTAAATTAGATGACAAAGGACACATAGATATTTAACTTGCCAAAGTCTGATGATGTAAAATACTTAATTCTCTCATGTATAAATAAGGGCAAAGCCACACAAAGGCCATCTGAGCCACACCCACCAGAGGCATATCAACCAAGTGTGAGGTGTACAAGTTGAAAAATTTACCACAGATCCCCTAGGAGAACTAGAATCAATAAGAAGAAAGGAGGAGGAGAAGCAGAATTTATCACCAAATTGAATAACGTGGTGGCATGGAAACTGGTGGAAGGTGAAAAACTCCTGAAAAAGTGAAGAGTGTGACTGGCCAAAACAAGGATGTGCCAGAAAAGGAGAGTCAAATTAGTCTTCTCATTGATTGTATTCTTCCTCAGAAACATTCTCATGTTGAAAAGAAAAATAAATCGTCAGCTGAACATATGAATTTAGCTCACTGCAAATTAAAGCCTGTACCTCGTCTGCAGATAAAGTTGAACCAGATTGCTGGGAAGTCATACCAGTAGCATTTTCGACTGTAACAGGAATTTCTATAGTCGATACATTGATCTAAAATTCGTACATGCAAAAAAAAATTGTTGAAATAAGTGAATTCAAACACAGTAAAATAAAAAAATTAAAATGGCAAAGAAGTGCATTCATAAATAGTAGCCATATGCAAAAAAACAAACATCTAAACAACATTGTGCCATTTGAGAAAGTGAGTATTGAGCGGGAATAGCAGAGGGAGCTAGCTACACCAATATATGTAGCATAATGCTATTGGTGGAGAGTAATCACATGATATGCACATGTTCATAAATGGCACAAAATTGATGGGGTATATAGACTGGTGCGCTGATCACAAAAAACGTTTTTATCTATGCTTAGAGAGCAGAAGAAAATTGAGACAACTTTGTGTGAAAGGAGGTAAAACCATATGGGAATATATATTTCATCATATATTTATTTACTTTTTTAAGTTGGGAAACTAATAAAATATTCTTAGAAGTACCTACAAACAAACCTAGATTACAAATGCAAATACTCAAGATTACACAGCTGAAACCTTTCCTTAAAAGTTTCAAACCTTGTGGTGAATATTGCTAAAATACATGCAGATTTATTTTACTGTATCAATTTGGTTCCAATATTGAATTGAACGATAGATTTATTCTTTTTGTGTGAACATAAATTACTCAAAATATAAATGATAGATACCTATAACCCACACAAAAAAACAAGTGTATATAAAAAAAAGGCAGTATCCTTTTTGGATGGAGTTGTCTTATTCCAAAACACACAATAACTTGATCTTCATAACAATAAGAGATATGCAAAACTAGTATGTGAAGGAAAGGTGTAGTTTAGGGGGAATAAAGGAGGAAAAAAAAAGCTTGGTTTGTGGGTGAATAAAAAAACAACACTTTATTTACTAAATAAAAATATATTGGCTTATCATACAAGTTGGAAGGAAGATTGTGATGCGATTAAAACTGAGAGTAAAATAAACTTTATTGAAGAGCAAGAGTACATAACTGATGAAACAATGTGTAAAGAACAACAGAACAGTATATTTAATTAGCTATACTTATTACCAAGCAACTTGCTCTGATTGGAAAGTAATATTGTAGTGAATGAAAACAAACTGTATTTAAATAAAAGAAAAACTTTGGATAAATCATAAACAGAATAGCTGGTAACTAAAAAGAAAAAGGTGAGTGTAAGATCAGCAAACTAAAAACTTTGTATAGATTATGAAAATGGTTGGGACTTCACCAGCAAATTTTGTTTCTTTCACCTCAAAAATGAATCTGGTTGAAATATGTAGTTGAACAATCAGAAAGTTTGATCACTTGTATCCAGAAGTAACTTTGCTCCATTAGACAGCCACAGAGCAGTACAAGACATAACTAATACAGCTATTTCACAAAACAGTAAATAGCTTTCTTGATCAAAGAAAGTAACAACTGAATTGCATTGATACATGACCTCAATTAGATTTAACATGTTCTGAATCAGACCTTAAAAAAATTTTAAGTTTTTTAAACATAAAATATATAATATAGGAGAGGAAGATATGTAGTGTTGTACACTACAGTGTGATCAACTGCAAATATACTGAAGTACAAACCACGCAAAAGAGAATGCATGAAGTATCAAAAAGCAACTAACAGGTGATAAAGCATATGTTGTACATGAATATATTATGCATTTATATCTTCATGTAATATTATAGTATTTATTCTGAATATATTCTACATTCTGTATCAGCTGGAGTACCTGTCCATTGGATGGGTGAAATAAAAACTCATTTGTAACAAAGAATAGGAAATTGTTCTTTTTTTTTTTTCTTTACATAATAAACATTAAAACTACAATAAAAATACACAAGTATTGAAAAGTAAGACATACTTTTCCAGAATTCTGTTATGTATCTGCTTGTTTGTTTGTTTCCAGTAGAAATTCTTTCCGAGGAGCTTCAGCGATACGAGTCCTTTCTTGATTAAACCAGTTTATTTTTCCTTGATACAAACTTTTAGTGCACAGAAGTTCCACAATCAGTATGTTTCTCGTCACTTTAAACTTAATAACTTTTATAATACACGCTATAAATCACAGCAATTCACAATCTTGATAAGTTCGCTCTCGATGAGTGCAAAACACACACTTTACAGCTCACTAGCTCGAAACTAACAGAATCATAAATTACACGGAACTCAAAGTAACTACTGCTCTCTCTTTATTCATTTATGCTGGCTTTCTCTGCCAGGCTTAAATACTAATGAAGAGAGCATCTCAATCACACTCGGACTTCCCCAATCATTCAAGAAACTCATCAGCATCACGTGTCTTCCGCTGTCCTAACAATTCTAACAATAGTGGTTACAAAGTTCATTCTAATGCTGAAGGATACACAACATTGGTAGTTTTACCGAAACTAAATACGAAATTAAATGGGGAGTCCAACCACCCCATGAACTTCCTCATGTCATCCTGTATAAATATGTCACGTTTGGTGCTAATTGATCAAGAAATGTAGAAACACATATATTGATATTTATTCATACAGATATTCATATTTTCTAGTGTATAAATAATAAACAAAACAGGCTTAAGCTGTCCTCATAGACAAACATTCCATCCCAGGTATCATTTAGTAAACCCTCCTCTAAACCCATTCCAACAATTCATTGTCCTTTCTAAGGTAAAGAACCCAAGAGTGAAAACATAGTACCAGAACTTGGCATTTTACTCAAACACTCCAGATGTTTAATTTACCATTATAAGCTACAAAGACACGTTAAGTTGGAGACAGTGATACATGTAAAATAGAAGTGTACTTTTTATTGTGTCCCCACAAACAAATCCAGCATCCACAAAAACCAAGCAAATGAGATATTTTCTGCAACAAAAGTGACAGAAAGCTTAAAAATATACTGACTGTAAAAAAAATTGTGCCTTTATGACTGGTAAGTGTACCCCAAATTAAGTATCATTAACTGATAAGTTAAATATCCAAGTGTGTATGAAATGTAAGTTATGAATATATATATACATATCCCTGCTGCTCTTACAAATATTTCAAATAAATAAATTGTTAGTACTACAACTACATAATTGTGAAAATTCTTACAAATTAGGCATCAAAGTAGCTGGTCCTACAGTTAAAACCTGGAACTGATCCTTTCCATTACTATGGCCAACATGATGTACAACAAACTGAACTCTTTCAGAGCGTTCCAAGTCTCGCACACTCCATTCAGAACGAATAGATACAGAGTTTTCTTTGGGTCCCAGAATCAAATTTGCCTTGATAGGATTTGGAACTTTGGAAAACTCTCTGTACTGGTGAATAATTTCTTCAACCTTTAAATTCAAAAAATTAAAACATTAACCAAGTTTATTTTCTTCTTTAAGTAATTGATACAACAATATAAAAAAAGAGAGTATAGCTTGTCCTAACATCAGAATCTATAAATTATTTCAAAAGACCTAATATATTTAAGCACCTTGTAAGTTAAGATAATGTTTCATGCACATCATAAATAAGGGTTTCATACAGATCTGTAATGAAAGTACATAAATATTAACATATAAACAAGCAAGATTTATTAAGAAAACTTGACAGTACAATTAACACTCAGTATTCAAGAATAAATCCTGTTGTGTCTACCATATATGAAGGTATTCTATTCCAAATACTGACCACCCTGTTAAAAAAGTTGCTTAATTGCAGATGACTCCTATTCTGCAAAATCTTATATCTATGTCCCCTAGTCCTACCACTCTTAGCATTAAACACACAAAAAAGTTATTCATCAATCATATTTTCTCTAACCCTTTATTTCTCGAGAGAAAATAATTTTAAGGACTTTAACCTGTTCTCATATGATAGTCCCTCCATTTCAGGAATCATCTTAGTAGCCTGTAGATACAATCCAAAATCATATTTACTTTCCTACTGGTAACAATACATTCCTTGAAAGGCTTGATTGACCAAAACACCAAGACCCTATTCTTCCATAACACTAACGAGTTCACATCACTTCAAAATTAAGGTAGCCCACATACATTACCTCACATTTAGCATAATTAAATGCTATCTGCTATTTATTTGCCCACTCATCAAATAATCTAAATCCTTTTGTTAAACAAAAGAGGGATTCTTATAGCCAACTACACCCAAAACTTTAAAATCACTGGCAAACTTGATCAACTTGACCTTTCCCTTATTATTACCATTAATGTTAATCAAAAGGAGTAAACGTTCCAGTACAGAACCCTAAGATTCCTCACATGCAACTATGATCCAGCTGGACTAAACTCCATTTATTAAAACACTTTGCTTTATCTCCTCTAACCATACTTTAGCCCACTAAGTTAACTTATTATCTACATCCACAAAGATAATTTTATTTACTAGTCTTTTGTGTGGTACTTCGTTGAAACCTTTCAAAAATTCCTGTATAACAAATCCACATCTTTATGCTTATTAACATAAGTTGTGATGTGCTGGCTGCCTAAGAAAACTAAAACATTTATTAGCTCTAGAGTTACCACAGTTATCTAACAAGGAAAGTATGATCTAAGAAACGACAGCTAAGAACTATTACAACAAAACACTGTAGATCAAACTCAAAATTTCTTTTTATAAATAGGGTCTAAGGATCATAGCCTTCTCTCATCTTCTCTCTCTCTCTCCTGGCTGTACCAGCAAAGCCAAAAAAAGGAGAAATTTTTGAAATAAATCTCTCAAAAGACAAATAAAGTATATGTGTCCAACTCTCTGTACAACCAATAGACTCACAATTATCAATGTCAGCATTAAATTAAAACAGAAAATTTTGTTATACAATGTCCAAATAAGCCTGAAGGTAAGGTTTCACCTTAATAGCAGGTTTGACAATAAACTACTGAATAGTGTAATGGTCTGAATGTGAGTTATCTGCTTTGGAATCTGGGTCCTGTTAGCTCAACTGACAAATATTCATTCCAGAACTCTGAAGGTACCAAAAGCCTTAGTTTAAAGTGTCAATCAGTACAGAAGTTTTTCATTACAACAATTAAAAAATAAATTTTTTACAAGCTAAAAATTTTTAAAAATCATGATTAAGGTAATTCTAATGTTATCATATGTCTTATCCACTAAAATTAAACATTAAAGTTTAAAAAAAATCAAAACCACCCTTTATCATTTAAATATCTATCAACCCTTTCCTTAAACCCTCTAAAATTTACCTCATCCATATCTGAAGGCAACCCATGCCAAAGATTAGCCACCTTGAAAGAAAAAGTAAACTTCCTTAGTTGATGATGATTCCTACCCAACCAAACTGTATATCTGTGTTCTCTTGTCCTACCATTTTCAAGTATGAAAAAAGAGAATGCATCAGCACTATAAATTCCTTTAACAATCTTAAATACTTTAATCACATCACCCCTAATTATTATTCTTGCAACAGAAAACAATTTCAGAGATCTTAAGCTGTCTTCATAGACAAACATTCCATCCCAGGTATCATTTAGTAAACCCTCCTCTAAACCCTGTCCAACAATTAATTGTCCTTCCTGAGATAAGGAACCCAAGAGTGAAAACAAATGTAGTACCAGAACTTGGAATTTTACTCAAACACTCCAGATGTTTAATGTACCATTATAACTGTAAGCTGCAATCAGCACAGATACCTTGAAAAAGTTTTTGCGACATGCTCTGTAACTTGCTGGAATGTTTTATCCCCAGCAGAACAATAAACTGCTTTGACGTTTAATAAAGTAAACATATGCTAAATGTGTGTAAATTTTCTTGTTTATAGTTCCAAGAGATATTCCTACACTTTAGCTGCATCACTGTATAAGACTATTTCCTCCAATAACAAATTGTTTACCTTTCTTCTTTTCTTCTGGAGTTTGACTTGTAGTTGGTCATCAAATAGCATGTTCTTTCCCTGTTCTACCAAAACAGTTCAAAAATACAAACATCTAGTCACTGTGGAATTACTAGATGGGTTGTGTTTGTTTCTTCACAAATGTCTTTATCTATCAAGCTCTTTTAGAGATAATAATAAAATATGTCTCTACACTTTGGTAAAACTTAAGGCAAAGAAGAGGAAAGGAGAATCATTATGATAATATTATGGTAAGATCAAAAGATCCCTGTTTGACATGGTGAAGAACCCTGTTCAATGCTGAGTATTCTGGCGCTCTGATAAGCTTTCAAGGATTTAGAAATTGGCCACCCATTAATGCAACTAAACTACAACATGGATCTTCAAGAGCCACAAATGACACTTGCCATTCTTGTGTAGATCATAAAAAGTGGTTGAACTCCTTAACAGTCTCAAGAGATTTACTGCACTGGGCCAATAATTTGCACCAACTTGACCTTACCTGTCATCAGATGATGTGGTCATTAATAAGAAAATCAAGCTTAACATCACTGACACACACACAGTGGTGTTGAGTTTGATTTTAAAATGATTCATATTCTATAATGTGTCTTTATGTACCATGCACACAACTTAAATAAATCATAATATGATATATACATTCTTTGTGTAAAAGCTCTGTTGTACATTGTTTGGATTCCACCTGATTAAAATATGCTGATAAAACTCACCTTGAACCTCAAAATTTTAATAATAAGTAATAAGGAATAAAAACATCTACTAAATTTAGCTACTATATCAAAGTATGAAAGTATGTTTGTTTTAAGTATATGAAATTTCCACAGTAAGTACTCTCTTAGAATGTGAACATATATTAAGTAAACTTTGTTTTATTATTTTTTAATATCTTGAGTAAAGATGTTGATGATTATTGAGTAAGCTAGCCATCAATACTCCAAACATTTAAACTTGAATCTTTAGTTTAAAAAACTAGCATTACAACTTACAAGAAAAAATTGAAACCTGATCTAATGTCACAAGAACACAATGCAACTTTTTCATAACAGAAACATAGTTATTCGGCAAAGCCAATTATTTTCTTCTAAAATATAAAGAGTTGCAACAATGTTAGTTGTATGTTATTTAAAGTTAAAGATTTCAGAGCTGCAGTATAACTTCCAATAAGCATTTATAGAGAGGTCCGACACCAGGAGCTGTGAATTAAAGCTTCAAGATTACACAAGTACTAGTTGGCATTAAGCGTATGATAATCCTCACCTAAAACTAAAAGTAAATTGTTTTAACCTTGAATAAGTTGAACTTAGAACTTTAAAGTTGCATAACACTATTGACAGTGCACAGTAACCTTTTGTCAGTAAATAATTAAGCTACAAACCGTCTTTCTTATTCCTCATTATACTGAGTATTTATTCTTTTATACTAAATTTACAGAATTTACAAGTATAATGGATACATATTTAATTATTATTACAATTTATAACATACTTGCACCTTATAAGTAGTTGATTATTTTACCAGTGCTTCAGATACATAGTAACACATACCTGTAAATCCATAATGCTGGTATGGTAATAACATGGAGTTAAAGCTTATCTTCAAACTTGTGCTCTATTTGCTACTAGATATTTGTTTACTTCGTAATAAACACACATCGTCTTCTACGTAATTGTTAATCCCCGCCTGTTCAGGAAACTTTGTGCAAAGGCATGTCTAGGTTATTTTTCTCACAGCTGGCACACCAGGGAACCAGTTATTAATTTATTACTTTAAAGAACAAAAGAAAAATCCAAAACACAATTCCATTTATATTATTTTTCTTTGTAGCGGAAATGTTAAGTTCAATATTTAAAATGTGTTTTATTTTTAGTTTGTTTGTCATTAAACACAAAGTTACACAAAAAGTTATTTGTGCTCTGCCCACCTCGGGTATCGAAACCTATTTTTATAACTGTAAGCTATAAGGCTTACTGCTGAGCCAACGGAGGGGGTAATTTTTTATAACAATGAGTAACATAAATTTATTACTAGTATTAAACCACACAAAAAAGTAAATACAAGTTTGTGAAGCCCAACAACCACTGATAAGGAACGATAAAAATAAATTAAGACAGTGGAATTCCATGTAAGGGGTTAAATGTACATGTATGACATATAGTTATAACATCACCCGCATAAAATGTTGTGACAAATTCTTAGTATACATCTTATCGGACTTTTCAAAATTTTTCTAGACTATGCACCAAATTTCTTGTGATTTACTGCGGTCAGTGACAGACCGTATACCGGCTCTAGATTGTCTCAGAATAATGTTGTAAGCTTATTTTTAATGTTTCAATTTAGATGTTAGCGAGAGGTCGCAAATGTTGAAGGAGGCTTAAAATGATCTAAATGACGTCATAAAAATCTAATAACTTTGACAAATATCTAAAAGTGAGAAATCAGATAAATAGGACTGGGCCACTCAGTTAGTAGTCCAGCATTGAATCAGTGAAGCATTTATTACTTTTGTTTTTCAGTTGGGAGAGTGCCTGTTATTCAGTAAACATATCCAGCGGTGGTTCGGCCCTATCTTTGTGATGTAAAGACATTATGCTTATATAGTTATAGCGCAGCTGCTATTGGTATTTAACGTTTTCTACATAGTCTATATTCTTCTGATAAAGCATGAGCATTTTGGCTAGCAATAGTCATATACAATAGCTTCTGTTGACACTTTGTAATTGGAATTCCAAAGTCATGTTGCTGCTATCAGGTCTTGTAGGCCAGATTCTTTATAGTAGGCGTTTGTGATTTGTTGACGATAAATTTCAACAATAAACAAACAGCAATACAGCCCACTTGTTTCAAGATATATTAAAACAAATCAAAAGTATATACACATATTTGTTACACTGTTGGTTAGTACAGTTGTATCCAGAGCTTTAAATAATTGTCTTTTTTGCCAACGTTCACACAAGCTAGTTCAATTACTTTAGAACACAATTGACAAGACGAGTTATTCTTCTCTACTCTTTTATTACAATGCATTCTGTGATAATTTCACTTTAAAAATCGACACTATACATTCTTTATTGCTAAACTTACAATCACGCAGTCTAATTCTAAATAATAATATTTCAAGGCATATTTATACCCCAACAGAAATCTAAAACATTACATGCAGTACTGGATATTCTGATGCAATAATACTCAGTTAAAATAACGAGACAAATTCAGAAAGCTCTAGTAAATGATGAAACAATACAACAATCATTTACTCATAACAGTTGAAGGTATACAATTATGTAAATAAACTTGCTATAAACTCTCATTTCTAAAATAACTAAATATTGATACATATCTGCTCGTTTGATAATTTCCTTAAGTTAATTTCCAGTTTAAATTATTTCTGAGGAACTTCAGCAATACAAGTCCTTTCTTAATTAAAACTAGTTTATTCTTTCTCGATACAACTTTGTAATACACAGAATTTCCACAGTCACTTTAAACTTAACAACCTTTATAACACACGCTATAAATTGCAGTGGTTCACACACTTTACTTATGGTGCCTACTGTTCGACTGACTTAATTATCTATATCTTTAATCTATCTGCATATCTATCTATTGCTGGCTTTATTTGTCGGGCTTATATACTAAAAAAAGAGGGCGCCTGGCAAACACTCAGACATTTGCGAGGTTTCTTGATAAGTCATGATCCTTCTTGAAACTCCAGTGCACATGTTCCCAGTGTCGCGTGACTTTCTCTGTCCTAACAATATGACACCTGCACTATATAAGATATTCAAATCATAATGCTCACATTAAAATTAAACTGAAACAGTCATGTATATCTAACAGTTAAAAGAGGTTTTGAGCACAAGCAAGCTTCGTCATGTTACAGAAATATAAGTATAAAGTGATTGTGGGTTTGAGATTTAAGCATTTTTGTAGGTTTTTATTTTTGTACAAGAAAGGAGCTGAGAATTCTACTGATCTTAAACCCATTTAAACATTACCTTCTATACAAATAAGAGTCTGGCTCACAAGACTACACAGCATACAATTATAAGCTAGACCTTTAACACTTCTTACTGAATAGAAGAAATTACGTATGTGAAACTGACTGCAGCAACATAAGAATGTTTTTTGCCAGCAACAGAAAAGGACTGATACATGATGACCAAGGTACTGTATTATGTAGCTTTGCTGCTTTAGTAGCTATTATAGCCTTTGACATGCAATTAGAATAGCTACCTTGTGTTACGATATCCGTATGTCTAGTGTTTTAAATTATAAAATTTGTTTAATCTATAAATATATATATACTTATACATGACATTATAATAAATCTATTATTATGACAGCGGAAGTCACGTGACGCTAGTAACACGTCATGAGATTCTAGAAAAATCATGTCTGTTCATAAAGCCTCGAGTGTTCTCCAGACGTCCTCTATTTCGTATATATAAGACCGGCGAGAATTGACGGCATAGATATGAATAATTGCAGATTGAAGAGATAGAGATGGACAATTGAGTCAAGCACGGTAGCAAAGTGCGTGAATCGTTCT